TCTTGTTTGCAGGAAGTGAAGAGCAGCCCCCAAACTGCCACCAGCCACCCATCTCAGCACCTGAAGATGTCGTTCAGCACATAGTATCCCTTCTCCTGGACGGCGAGGAAGAAAGTTTGCACAAAGGGCCTCTTGGGCTTGCCCTGCGGCAGGAGGAGAACATGCGGGAGGTGGATGGATGCGACACAATGGGTGGCCAACAGAGTGTTAAAGTGGATGAGCCACGCCGGTGCGGCCACACCACTCCCTTCCCTGTACACCTCGGTCCACCTCCTGCTGTGCCATCAGGCCCGGGCAGCGCCTCACGTGCCAAATCTCACCCTGCTCTGGAGTGTCCCGGACACCTGCACCACAACGCCTTCCACAGCGGAGGGCTGGGAGTCCACGCTGTAGATCTCGGTCACGGCCTCCTCGAACCCCAGCCGCTGCACAGCCTCGTAGATTGCCTGTGTGGGTGAGGTATGGGTGTGGGGAACTCATGTAAGCCAGTGCGGCGGGGGGCAGCGCGGATGCCCGCCATGTTTTATGTGACGACTGCGGCACACCGCCTGTCAGGGCCCTGCTCTGTCCCAGGTATGGCTCAGGAATGCCACGCCCGCCCAGGCAGGGTGGGGGCCAGGCATGCAGCAGAGCATCAGGTTGCCGCACCCACTTCAATTACGAGGCGTCCTTTCCCACAGAGGCGCCTGCCTCGTCCTCGGACCACTACACATCACATACAGCCCGACATTCGACAATCAAGAACCCCCATCGCTCGCCCACCCACCCGTTGCCCGACGGCGGTGTGGACCAGGCCGTCCCCGGCCACGTTTGCCACAGAAAAGATGCTGGAGTCGGCATAGAAGCGATGCAGCTGCTTCGGAGACTGGTGCAATACAGTGTAGAACTGCTGAACGAACTGGCTGGTCACCTGTGGAAGGAAGGTCCCGGGGGCGGGGTGAGGGGCGAAGCCTGTTCGAGACATCCTGGTGCTCCCAGTGGCGGAGGGGAGTATGACAACGAAGATGGACGACGCCCGGGACCCCTCGCGTCCTACCGTGCTTGCTGTATTCACTTGATTGTTCAGTATGGGGAGACTGGTGCTGAGAGAGGGGATGGACCCGTCGGCACTCGCCATCGCCGATCCTGGGAGAGGGAGGGGATGACACACCCAATGTGACGATCGATTCAAGCAGGACAACATCGTATACAGCTTTGTATCGCAGGTTGACATGTGCAGATCACTGTCATGGCGCGCAGTGTCCCCATGACTGAGGAGGGCTCCATTGACGCTTACACCTTACTTCCTCCCAGCGCACCTCAAAGGCCACTTGAATCGAGCTGGAGCTGGGTGTGAAAGTACCTATCAGCTATCTATTCCAAGCCTGGTATCGAAAGGCTCATTTTGTGGACTTGAAGCGTCTTACAGGGGATGGGGGGGTGAGGGGCCTCTCCATTCGGTCCTTCCTTCTTGGGCAATGCAGGCGACCGAAATACTGGCGCCTCCCACACCCGGCTGCATGCAGTATTAGGTCAGTGCATCTCGCGAAAGAGCATCATCAAGCATCTCACTTAGTTGGGGAACAAATACTGCGTACATACGACCATGTATAAAAGGAGGGACTGGGTTTACACCGAGAAAGGGAGAGCGGCAGCGGAGAGCGACTCCAGTGACTCCTCCTCGTCCAGTGAATCCGATGGTGGGTCCTTCGACAGCGGCATCAACCATATGTTACTCCCTGGAGATTTATGGATGTCTCGCAACCTCGACATTCCCCCATGCAGACGCGCGGAGGAGGGGTGATTCGGAGGACGACAGTGCCAGCAGCAGTGCCAGCAGCGGTATGGAAATGATGAGGGGCTGGTCAGAGAGTCTGCGCAGGCGGTTTGTAAGATCCGCGTTGTCTCACTCTCCCTTCTCACCTGATTATCCAGGTTCTGAAAGGGACAGCGGCGGCGAGGAGGAGGCTGAGGTGATACGTGCCAAGGGCCAGGCGGCAGCGGTGCCGCCACCTTCCGCAGAGCGCGAGGAGGAGGACGAGGAGGAGGAGGCAGGGTCGAGTGAAGGGGAGGACGAAAATGAAGAGGACGAGGAGAGTGAAGAGGACGACGAGGGCGGCGGCGACAGTGATGCGGAGGCCCTGTCTGGCGATGCGGAGCTCGACTCCCCACTGGACATAGAAACGATCCCGCTGACCACCAGACTGGAGGACCTCTCCGAGAGCGACTTTGACGAGGAGGACTTCGAGGCCATGGAGCGCCTGGCGGCGCAGCTGCGCGCCTGGCTGTCAGACGCCCCGGCCCCCGGCCCGGCCCGGCCTCTTAAGTGCACGCTGTGCCGCGGCGCGCTCATGCTCAAGCCCGTGACCCTGCGCCAGCACGTGGCCAGCAAGCGCCACATGCGCCGCCTGGCAGCTGAGCGCGCCAGGGAAAGGGCGGAGCGCGGCGGCGCCGACGCCGGCAGCAGCAGCAGCGAGGAGGACGAGGACGCCGCGGCGCTGGCGGTGGCCGAGGGCATCTGCTTCGCGGAGGACTACGTCAGCGACAGCGAGAAGATCGAGACGGCAGAGGAGGGCGCGGCGCGGCTGGCCGCCGCGCTGCGGGCGGCGGCGGAGGGTAGGGCCAGGGTGGAGGCCAAGAAGGCGCGGAAGGCCAAGCAGGTGCCGCAGCCGGGGAATCGGGCGGCGCGGCGCGCGGCCGCAGGCCTGGGTGCTGCTGCGGCGGCGGGCAAGGGCGACCAAGGGAGCCAGGCGGGCAGTGAAGCAGCCGCCCCGGTGCAGGCGGTGGCGTCATCAGAAGGCAAAAAGCGGGAGAAGAAGGAGCGGAAGCGGCCAGGCAAACGGCAGCGACAGGCGCTCAAGCCGGCCCCGGAGTCTGACAGCGAATGACATGGCTGCCTGAGGAGTGTTGCCTCGCCGCCTCATACACAGCAATAACATTGGGCAGCCTCTTATATGCTAAATCCAACCAGATACCTTCCAACCAGATTTCCATCAAGTGCTACCCTTGGGCATCCTGCTACTACTGGGGGTGGCTAGCACCCACATAACAGGACTTGCTGTACTGGGTCTGAATGAAATATACTGCAAGAATCCCCCATCACCCTGTGGAGTTGGGGGGTATGGTCCTAGAAACCTGCTTGATGCACCAATTGGGTGGCCGCAGAGGGAGCAAGGAGGAGAACCAGCACATCGGGTGTGCGCTAAAACAGTCTGCCTACTGGTCGGACGGAGGTGTAGCCCTGCCCCCCACGATCCCACCATCGGGGCCAGGATGTGCATTCTTTCCCAGAAGCGGCTCGTTTTGACTGGTCACCTGAGGCAGGCGGGACCAGGGGCTTGCAATTAAGGGATGCACGGTGCATCCTTGCCTGCGTCCTCCCCCAACCCGCTATCGACAGCCACCATCCAGACGAACACGACGCCGCATGGGATCCAGTTATGCGAGCTCAAAGGGAACTCGTCAGCATCACCAGCCAGGGTCATTCCTCCCACTCCACAGACAGGGCGTGAAAATGCACCCCGCCTTCACCCCGCCCACGGTGGACTCCCGGCCTTCCGACCCCAGCCCCACCTCCGGCTCCGTCACTCCACCTTTCTGGCGGCGAGAGCGACGCTCCTGCGCTCGGCCCGCATCCGCAGGGCCAGGCCGCCCTGGACCAGGCCAAACCCGGCCCACGCCAGTAAAAACATGGCCAGGAAGCCGACCCAGGCATGCGGCCGCTTCACATCCATGAAGGGGTAGATGGGGCGGCCGTGGCGCAAGAAGAAGACGGCGGCCCAGACTCCGTAGACGCCGGCCCAGGCGCCCTGGCCGCCCGCCGCCCAGAGGTCGGGCGGGAGGCAGCCCAGCGCGATTTCGCCGGCCATCATCAACGCGTTGATGCCGTGCTGGCTGTACGACTCGAGGCAGAAGAGGCGGGACGCCCACATCGCGCGCCGCGCCGGGTCGGGGTCTGCCATCAGCATGGGCACGAGGACGAGCCAGGTGATGGTGTCGACCACGACGATGGCCTGATAAGTGCGCAAAGGACGAATTTGGGGGGAAAAGGAGGTAGAGGGCAGATTAGGGGGTGGAAAGCAGGGGGGAACAGTGGACCAAATGCCTTGCGAGTCGATGCTAAGAGGACCCGCAGCAAGGAGATATCGGGAGTGCCAGTGACAGACAGTGAGCAGGCTCGGAGTCTAAGCAGATCAATCCCAACCCCTTCTCACTGAGGCTTCGGTGTGGAAGATGGCCACCAGCACCCAGTGCAGGGTCCTGGGCTTTGCGCTACTCCACCCCTTGCGGCTGATTGCCAGCCAGCTGGCAAGGGCTGCCAGTGCAAAGTAGGCGGTCAGCAGCCACCAGTTCCAGACTGGAGGAAGGGTGGATGGAAATCCCAGAGGCGTGGGTGGAGTATTTCTCTCAAGGAGTAATTCTACTCAAGGCGTGCAGGTCATTGGCCCTTGGCCCATCCCAGGCTTGTTGTAGACGCTCCCCAGGTTTGGAAGGTGGACCACACAGGCGACGGTGTCGGATTCTCATCCAATCTGCTGCGGCCCACATCCCTGCGCACCGGTATAGTAGACGAACGCAATGCTGCCACGATCCAGGTACTGCCGGATGCCGATGAACAGGGCATACCCCAGGCAGGCGAGGCGGTAGACCAGCAGGGTCCTTCGCGAGACTGCGGTGCATGCGTGGGGATTGGTTGAAGGAATGATGGAAGGGTGGTATGAGGACACGCCTTCAGGAAGATCATGATCAGGCGTGCTAGCAAGGGATCTGTAGCATTGTGACCACAGTGTAAAGCTGAAGTCGGGCACAAGAGGCCAGCAAAAGCCATGTGTGGATGCCTCACCGCTGGCAGAGGCTGTGACATCTGGCGGCGGTGCCTTGCGCGCCTTCCTAAGCCTGGAGAGGGTTACGTCAGGGGTTTTTCCGCGTGCAGGGACCCAGAGCTGAGCACTCTGTCAGTTGCAGCATGCCTATTGCGTCTCAGGGAAAGCAAGCTGCTCAGCAGCTCCTCCGTGCCGGCTCACTCACCATACGATCAGGAAAGTGGTCGTCTGCACCCAAGCGGCAAGCTGGATGACTATGATGGAAGTGGGGATCGTCATGCCGCGCCCCTATAGGCACGACAGCTTTGTGCAAGAGCGAGAGCCCTCCGGTCTCCGACTTGCTCTCCACCTCGACCCTCGTGCAGAGAGCTGGCTTGGCCTCTGTCGTCCCTGTCTTTCAAGATTGTACGCTTGGATTGATACAATGCAAGGAGTTTAAGCCAGTGTCGCCGCACACGATCAAGCTAGAGCATATGTTGAGCAGCTAGGAATTTTCGAGGCACTCGCGATCACGCGTCTGCGCGCCTGCGCCCTCGACTATACCAGGCCATGCAACACTTTTATGACAATGTGACAGGAAGAACGAGTATACCCCTTGATCACCCAAATCCATCAGATGCGCAGCAAAATTTAGGAACATCTGTGGTCATATCCTTCCAGTACTGTGGTTGAGCGGAGTGTGGTGTTCGAGAGATGCTCGCGAGCAGCACGTGTGCATTCCGTTTCTGTCCTCCCCCACCACGACAAAGGTAGTGGAACTGAGGACCGGCGATGTTGCGAGATGTCGCCAGACTCGTCATACAGAAATCATCGGTGACAGAACCCGCAGATCGCCTTGCCCCACCGCTGCATGGCTATGCACTCTTCCAACCTCACCTCCCACGCAGGAGGGCCGTTCCACAGCCTCTTCGGGCCACCTCCCCGGCGATGACACCCGCCATCGGCACCCAAGACCTTGAGCCCTTCGTCGCCCTGGCAAACCGCCTTGCCGACAGCGCGGGCGCCGTCTCAAGCCGCTACTTCCGCACCCCGGTGGCTGTGGACGTGAAGGCCGACGCATCCCCCGTCACCATCGCGGACCGGGAGGCAGAGGGCGCCATGCGGGACCTCCTCTCCACACACGCCCCCACGCACGGCGTGTTTGGCGAGGAGTTTGGCCATGCCTCCGGCTCCGACCCGGACTGGACGTGGGTGCTGGACCCCATCGACGGCACCAAGTCCTTCATCACCGGCCGGCCCCTCTTTGGCACCCTGATTGCCCTGACACACAGGGGAGTACCTGTGCTGGGGGTGCTGGACCAGCCCATCCTGAGGGAGAGGTGGGTGGGGGTGCTGGGGGCGGAGACGTCCCTCAATGGCCTCCCCATCCACACCCGGCCATGCGCCAGCGTGGGGGATGCCTACCTCTTTGCGACCACGCCACATATGTTCTCAGGTGAGGGAAATGGGGGGCTGCAAGGATGTTGTTGAACAGGGGGATGCAGGGCGGTGGAGGACAACTGCTGGTCGTTGAAAATCATAGAAAGAAACAGTGTTGACTCTGCATGCTCGACTCCGTTTGAGGATGAGGCTGTCCACCCTGGACCCTCCGAGGTTCTGTTGCAACATCAGCATAATGAACATTGAGTGCCTGACCAAGAGTGCGCCACCCTGTCAGGGCCCTTTGAGTTGGTAAATGAGATAGAGTGGAGCTGTGCCCCTGTCCCCCACCCTTGACAACAAGTCCTCACAACCCTCGCAGGTCCAAACGCTGAGGCCTTTGCTCGAGTGAGAGATGCCAGCCGCATCCCCCAGTACGGCTGTGACTGCTATGCGTATGGCCTGGTGGCGCGAGGGTTGGCCGATGTGGTGGTGGAGGCCGACCTGAAGCCGTATGATTTTCTGGCCCTGGTGCCCATCCTCGAGGGGGCGGGCGGCGTCATGACCGACTGGATGGGGGAGGCGCTGCGGCTAGACCCGGAAACCATCACAGAAGCACACGAGGTGGTGGCTGCCGGGGATGCCAGGACCCATGCGCAAGCCCTGGAACTCCTGGACTGGAGGCGCTGATGGGATGACCTTTGGTGTGCATGCATCTTCATGTGTACTCCAAGCATCTGCTCGGATCCAAGTGGGTGTGTGTTGGTAATTGCTCTTGATTTAATTCGCTCATGTTATTGATGCATGCTGGGAGTGTACACAACGGTATGTCGTGATCTAGGAACATGCTTCCACTTGATGAGGTGAAGGGAGGATCACCGCGCGCGCAAGATTCCACCGGCGGGGGCAGACCTGGATGTCGCTCTTGTAACGCAGCAGAAAACCCAAGGCATACTACATGGACGCATGCTTCGAGTCCTCACGCATTTAAAGACGCCGAATAGATACCCAGTCCGTTGTTTGCTTCGTCGAGCATCACACGGCCATCACTGCACCATGGCTGCTGCTCCCGGCACCGCGGCGCAGGGCCTGCGCGATGACGGATGGTACACCGAGCTGAGCTCCCTATGGCCAGGCCAGGGCTTGAGCCTGAAGGTGGATGAGGTGCTCTACCAGGGTCGCTCCGAGTTCCAGGTGGGAAGGCCCCGGGCTTGATGGGTTGGTGGGTGCTGCACCCGGTCGGGTGGGTCCTCGGTACCCGGCATGCACGCGCAACAACGATCTCCATGGCTGGGCTCAAACGCAAATCCCAAGATATTTCTATGGCTCACTCAAGCATGCCACGTCCCCCCTCCCTCCAGGACATCGCCGTTTTCAAGACCGGCGCTTTCGGGAAGGTGCTGGTGCTGGACGGCGCCATCCAGTGCACCGAGCGCGATGAGTTCTCCTACCAGGAAATGATCGCCCACCTCCCCCTCTGCGCTCTTGCAGTGAGCAACTTTAGCCTGGGATGGCAGGGGCAGGTTGATGGGCACTGTCCGCCCCGAGGCCATCGGCCAATGATGTGCTGCTCTGGCATACACACGCCCAGTAAAACCCCTGGGAGCACGCTCACGCTGACTCTGAGCTGCCCCCCCCCCCCCCTCCCTCGCAGCGCCCAGCCAAGAAGGTGCTGGTCGTGGGTGGCGGCGACGGCGGGGTCCTGCGCGAGCTCAGCCGGCACTCCTCCCTGGAGGCCATTCACATGGCCGAGATCGACGGGTGCGCGTCATTTGGTTCTCCAGGGACGCATGCTTGCAATAGCGGTGCATTAAAGATACCTCCTGGCCTGTCTGTCGAGTGGGAGGGTCAAGTCGGCGGTTGACAATTTTGGACCATACCTGCATTGCCCGGCCTCAACTCAAGGTGGCGTGCATGCCATTCATGCTGTCGTGGCCAGACCCAAGAGTTCTGTGTGATGCCAGCGCACGCTCCATTCCACGCCTTCTTTTCCTGCGTGCAGCGGCGTTGTCGAGGCTGCCAAGATCCACTTCCCGGGCATGGCCATCGGCTTCTCTGACCCTCGCGTCTCCCTGCACATTTGCGATGGTATCAAGTTTGTCCAGGTGCGTGCTGGGCGGTGTGTCAATGGGCGCCAAGGATTCCACAGAGCTAAAAGGGATTTTGGGGGTAAGGACCTGGACCCTGCCCTGGACTATCCGTGCACAACCAAGCCAAGGCCGGGCGTGATTGTGAGGCGCTTCCCCTGGAGTCTGCGGGCTCTCCTGACATGCCCCTATGCCGCCTCCCCCCCCCCCCCTCCTTCCCAGGATGCGGAGGAGAACACCTACGATGCCATCATCGTGGACTCCTCCGACCCAGTGGGCCCTGCCGAGGTGCTATTCCAGCAGGTGCGATCACATGAGGGCGGGCGCGCATGTCCGCGCCACCCCGCCGCAGGCCGGAATGCGAGCCTGCGTCCCGGGATTCTGTGCGCGTTGCTCGTGGGGCAGGTTGTATTGATGAGGTCTGCCTTGCGAGCCCGGCACAATCCAGCATACATGCCCTTCGCCCCCTTGCTCCCCCCAATTGCCTCGGAGACACCCTTCCAAACCTCCCGCCCCAACACCCTCCCAGCCCTTCTTCGAGGCCATGCACCGCGCACTCAAGCCCGGCGGCGTGGTCTGCACCCAGGGCGAGTCCCTGTGGTACCACCTGGACATCATCAAGGGCCTGGCCGCCATGTGCCACACCGTGTTCGTGGGCGGGACGGTGCAGTACGCCTTCACCACCATCCCCACCTACCCCTCCGGCCAGATCGGCTTCATGATCTGCTCCAAGGCCGACCCCGAGACCCAGGCCCAGCTGGACCCCCGCACGCCCAAGCGAAGCGTGGACGGCGCCGACAGCGCCGCCCTGGGGCCGCTCAAGTACTACAGCCCGGAGGTGCACTCCGCGGCCTTTGTGCTGCCCGCCTTTGCCAAGCGCGAGCTGCAGGCCTCCCTATCCTTTTGAAAGATCGGAGGGAGGCGGTTTTGCCATGTGGAAGTAGGCGAGGGGATCTTGGCCCCTAGAGCCTGCAGGAAGTGGCTTGCTGTGTAATTAAATGATGCAAAGTCAGATGCTGATTAAATGGGCGAGCGAGTGGGAGGGGACCCAGTGTGGCTCTCGTAAAGAGTTAGTCCGGACGAGCTAATCTTTCCAGCCAATCTATTAGCCCTCCTGGAAAAATCCACGCATGTGTCAGTCACATGGAGAGCACACCACACGAAAGAGGTCGCCCACCACTACTGCCCTGGAAATTATCTGCCTGGCTAGCATTGGTGCTGAGCGGATTCCCCTCTCCAAAGAGAATCTTAGGCTTTACTTGATCAAGACTTTCCACAAGCGGAATCAAAAGTGGTATGCGAGCAAGACCAAGAAAGAGAGGGGAGGGGTGGGGTATATGCCGGGAAGCATGCATTCAGCTGACACCGCTCGCTCCATCCTCCTCGACAGCACGCAAGACGCCTGCCCTACCCCGTCACCACCCCCTGAGTCCCCCCTCCTTCCTTCGCCTCCCCTAGGCCAGCTTGGGGGTGGGAGTGGCCTTGTACCGCTTCACGGCCTCGGTGTAGGCGTAGGTGCCCAGCAGCGCGATGCCGGTGCCCACCTTGGTCTGCAGCGTCAGCTTGTTGCCGAAGAAGAGCACCGAGGTGGCGATGATGACGACACGCTTGACCACGTTGCAGACGCCGTGGGAGACGGGGCTGATGCGGGACAGGGTGTTGAAGGCAAACTGGTTGTACAGGTGGTACAGCAGGCCGACGGAGAGCAGGGCGCCGTAGAACTGGCCTGCGCCCTTGAGCGCGACCTGGGTGCGGATGGCGGACCACACGCCGCGCTCAAAGAAGAAGATGCCGGGGACGCAGATGAAGACGGAGATGAGGGTGGTGTAGGCGTAGATGCCCGTGGAGCTCAGGTTCTTGATCGTTGTCATGGCCCTGAGGGTAAAGGGCAGAGAGGGGGGGAGCGAAATGGAGTGGTCGTAGAGGTGGGACGGTGGACGAGGGTACGATCAGTGGAAGGTGGAGGGACGTGATGACAGAAGGCTTGAGTGCCTTTGTCAGTGGCTAGCCCGCTGCCGACCAGCAGTGCCCTTGCTGACATGCCCACAGGCCCGCTGCCCACCCCCGTCTGACAAAGAGTGCATTGCAGCAGACAGAATCCCCCCCTCCAACACTCACTTCTTCGACCAGACAGCCCTGAAGCCAAAGGTGAGGTTGGAGACCATGGCGGAGATGAAGCCGGTCCAGTTGAAGGACAGGTCGGCGGCTGAGGCGGCGGCCACACCCACCATGACAGGAATGAGGGAGAGGATCACAGGCGCGGGCGTGGACTGGCCTGCACAGCGTGGAGAGGGGGATCAGTCCGGTTAGGACGAGACGTCGTGGGTGGGTATCGGACCTCCTCTGCAAAAGGCGCTGCTGAATTGCTCTGGCAGTGTGCAGCAAAATTGCTGCCTCACATGCGCCTGCCACTGCCCTCCGTATTCCTTTCCCCAAGGTCAGCCCCCACTCGGACCCCTCCCTCGCGCTCACCCAGGATCAGCTGGCTCAGCGCGACGTTGAAGGCCGGCTCCAGTGTCTTTACGGTGTGCGTCAGGCTGATGGCCACGGCGGCAAAAGAAAGGTTGGCCGCCACATGACCGATGGCATGCATTGCGGCGGGGCCGGAGATGGCGCCCAGCTCCTCAGTAGTGATCGGCTGCGCATGGGGGAAGGGTGCAAGGGAGTGGTCAAGCGTCCGGCCTGCACGATGCAGATGTTGCCCCCGCTGAAATTGCAAGGTTTGGGTGCAGGGGACTGCTAGGAGAATGCCTTGTCGACGAGTGCACTCCCAACTCCCCACATTTGCACCATGCTTGAGATCCACCAAACCCTCCAATCCCCACCATAACCACCACCTTGTCGACGCACCCGCTCAAAGGAGGCCTTCTTGAGCCCGATCAGGTAGAAGACCGCGCAGTAAATGGTCCCCACGACAACATGTACGCTGGACACAAACCAAGGGTAGGGGAAGTAGTTGAAGATGACCTTGTTCTGTAGGTTGAAGGCCACGTTGAGGCCATACCTGCCAAGGGGTGTGGGTTGGTGGGCATGGTGGGTTAGCCAGGAGCCTGAACAGAAAGATCCCGCCTTCTCCTGGCAATGAGGCTAAGGACCAGACTCCAGCCCCATTTAACAGGGCTCCAGGGGGTTGCAAAAAAGCAGCAGAACTTCCCGCTCAAAAGCCCTCTCACCAGATTGCAATGTACGTCAAGGTGGTGGCAGATGCGGCGGCAGAAGGCCCCATAAACTTGCTCAATGTCCTGTGAGGAGTTTAACATGCTTCACAAGCTGTGAGGCGAGAGCAGGGCACCATGGGCCCAGCCTGAGTTGGGAAATGCGCTGTAACCCAGTGGCTGGGTGGGTAGTTTGCAGTACAGGACCCCAATCCTCCACGGCCAGTGCTGCCCACCTCTCCACAGCATCCTTGGGCTGTGGCTCCAGGGCCCCAGCACTGGCATGTACTTGGAGGTTAGAGGCACGACGGCCTGGCCTCAGCGCGGGCTGGAAGGCCCTGCTGCAGCCTGCTGCCTGGTTGAGCCCTCCAGCGAAACCCTGCGGTGCGGACGAGGGTCGGTGACAATCGGCCGCAGGCGAGGCATACTACCATTAATTGCACGCATCGGTGCAAGGGTTGAATCAAGAGGGTGAATGCGTCGTCAGTCTGGCGGAGCCACTCACCCGAAGCTGGGCTGCACGGGGTGCGACCAGCCCTGCCCGGGTGGGAACCCTGGCAGCCTGCCGGCACAGGACGGGCGCTGGGGCGCTCAGGCTAGTGCAGGCTTGCATGATGGCTTGATTGAATGTGTGTCACGGTCCTGTCCACCCGACTCCAGATGAGGGAGGGCGGATGGAATTCGGATCACGTGGCTCGACGGACAACGCCGCGAGCAAGCATCCTGAGCATTTCCTCCCCGCCATGCACGGAATGCGAGGCTCTGCACGCCTGCCATGGCGCACCCCCCGCCCGATGCCATGCTCTTTACAGCCAAATTTGTGTGCGACGCAGGGGATCGGGAGGGCACCGGTCCCCACCGTCCCCTTCAGAGGCCCTCGAACAGCTTCAGGTGGTCCTCCAGGGTCTCCCCCCTCCTGATCATCTTCAGGGTGTCCCCCCCCTCCACCCAGTACTCCGCCGGCCGCATTTTCAGGTTGTAGGTGGAGGCCATGGCCATGCAGTAGGCCCCCGCGTCCAGCACCGCAAGCCCGTCCCCCGCCGCGGGCGTAGCCAGCTCGCGGTCCTTTCCCAGGAAGTCGGCGCTCTCGCACACCGGACCCACCACGTCGTAGACGGCCTTGGGGGTGTGGTGTGGGGCGGTCAGCTCGATGTGCTGGTAGGCGGAGTAGAGGGAGGGCCGGATGAGCTCGGCCATGGAGCCATCGATCACGATGAAGTTCTTGTTGCCGTTGGTCTTCACCCCTGGCGGCGTTGTGTGGGAGGGGAGTGCGGTGGGCGCTTTGTGAACAAGGGGGATGTGTTGATGTGGGGTGGGCGGACGGCCAAATGGTAGCAGCACACCTCCGAGGGGAGGCAATGCACTCCAGATCCAGAACGCAGCCACGGAAAGAACAGGCACCCTCCTGACGCATCACATCATGCCATTACACCCCCAGTTCGGCACCACACCAGACCCCCCCCCCCAACACACACACAACCCCCGCCCCCACCTGTGACGGTGTTGACAAAGGCGGCGGAGTTGGCCACCATGGACCTCCCGGGCTCGATGATCAGGGTGATGCCCAGGGAGGACACCAGGTCGCGCACCGTGTCGATGAGATCGCGCGGGGTGGGGAGCACCGCGCCCCTGCACGGTAGAAGTTAAAGATGGTGGTGGCAGGGATTGTGTCTGTCGGGTGTGCTGCGCTCCCTGGGGAGCAGAAGGGGTGCAACGTGCCCTCCCGTATCTATGTAAGACCTCGGCCGGTCTTCGCCGTTATCTCCGCGCCCGGCCACACGATGCCGCTCCCTTCCCCTGGGCGCGCTCCCCACCCCACCCCCCGACACGGAAAACTCACTCGTGACGGTAGTCAATGCCCAGCCCGCCGCCGATGTTGAGGAACTGGATGGGGAAGCCTTGGGCCCGCATCTCCTTCACAAAGTCGACCATGATCAGGGCGGCGTCACGGAAGATGCTGACCTTGGTGATGGTGCTGCCCAGATGGCTGTGCACACCCACCAGCTCCAGCGCGCCCGGCTCGGCCTTGATGGCGTCCAGGAACCACTGGAGGTGGCTGTTCCGGATGCCAAACTTGGACTCGGACATGGAGGTGCAGACGTAGGGGTGCACGCCCGGGTCGACGTCGGGGTTGATGCGGATGAGCACGCGCGCGGTGCGGCCCACGCGCCGCGCCGCTGCCGTGATGTTGCCCAGGTCGAACTCGGAGTCAACGTTGATGAGCGCGCCGTGCTGCACCGCAAACTCCAGGTCCCGGGGCAGCTTGCCATTGCCGTTGAAGATGGTACGGGCCACGTCAAAGCCGGCGGCGCGGGCTAGGCGCAGCTCGTTGCCGGAGACCAGCACCGCACCGGAGCCCAGCTCGCGCAGCAGCTCAACGATCTTCAGGTTGTTGTTGGCCTTGATGGCGTAGCCGATGAGGGAGGGCAGGCCCTCCAGCGCCGCGGCATAGGCCGCGTGGTTGGCCCGGATCTTGGCCTGGGAGTAGACGTAGAAGGGGCTGGCGTCGACCTGACCCCGGATGTCGTCCAGGCGCAGCCCGTCCACGTACATGTAGCCGTCGCTGGCGGTGTAGATGCCCAGGCCGGAGCCGGGGGCGGGGGCGGGGGCTGAGCGCTGGGCGGCGGCGGGGGCTGCCGCTGCTGCCATGGTGGTGACCTGCCTGCGTGCCTGTGGGGTTAAGTGATTGGGGAGAGGGCAGCCCTTCAGGGGTTTCTACCATGGGTAACAGGCAGTAACACGGTATCAGTGACCGGCTTTCAGGCACGCACAGCCTGCCAGGGGGTCAGCAGGAGATATGTCATGACAGGAAGCCTCACCACTGAAGGACGGCCCTGGGGGCGCGATGGGAGGGCCGCAAAGGCACCCGCGCGCGCGCCAGCACGATTCCCACCAGTGCAACTGAGTGGTTGAGAGAGCGCAGATGCCCGCCCGGCATACAGTGTCGTCTGCATGGTCGGTGTTAAGGGCCGGTGCGGGGGGGTGCTCCTGGAGCCAAGGGTCTGGAGCTGCAGGACTGGACTTCGGTCCTGATCGAGAATGGGTCTAATCCTTCCTGTTTCCTTACACAGAGAATAGTATCGAGTACCTATGCATGAGCCGGGGGGAGGGGGCATCCATTGTCCCGCCCAGCCACTCTGCGCGCCTACAGCACGTGCCTGGGGTTTGTGAGGCAGTCAATTTGGGATAGGCCGGGCCCGTCCCCATCCCCGACCCCCGCACCCAACCCTGGGAAGCTCGCCTGGGCTGCTCACACCCAGCACAACCCTCCACATGATGTGTGTGCGATAGAGGCATGACGACCTGCGCCATGGTGGGGTCTGGCCCGGGCCCAAGATCACTTGCGACACAGGCCCGGGCCCTACCCCATCGCGTCGCTCCAGGCTGTGCCGCGGCACTATGCATCACAGATGGGTTTTGTGGATGCAAGTTCTCGCTTCGGCCCCGTCGCTTGCCGGTCCCCCGCTCTGCTGCGGCCTCCGTGCACCACCCCCACCCCTCATCGGAGCACGACCACGACCACGAGCATGGGCACCGCCCCCACTGGCTGGCGCACTCCCCCCTGGGCGGGGCCCTGGACTGGATGGAGGGCGGCACGGTCTCCTCCCTGGTCAAAATCGCATGCCTGGTCGTGGCAGGGGCCTCCCCCTGGCTGCCCCTCTCGGCCGCCGCGGCCGCCGCCACGCGCACGGCCGCCATCTCCCTGGTATACGCCCTCTGCGCCCCCTCCGCGGCCCTGGACCTGTGCACGCAGCTGGCGGCGGGCGAGGTCGACACCCACGTGCTCACCAGCCTGGCGGCGGCGGGCACTGCGCTGACGGGGCACGCTGCGGAGGTGTGCTGAGTGTCTCGGGGCCGGGGGGGGGGGGCCCTGGTCTCAACGCATCAGGCGGGCCCTGCTCCAGCGCCGTGCGGGCCCTACCCACCGATCACCTGCACGTCTCCCTCTCTCCGACTACCCCCTCCCTTTCCCCCCCTCTGCCCCAAGGGCGCGCTGCTGCTGACCATGTTCCAGACCTCGCACATGCTGGAGCACCAGCTGACGGCGCGCGCGCGGGGCCGGCTGGCCGACCTCTTCGCCGGCCTGCCCGACGCCGCGGAGGTGGTGGAGGTGGACCTCGCCGACGCCGCGCCGCGCCTGCACACGCGGCGCCACGTGGCCGTGGCCAACCTGCGCCCCGGCGACCACGTGCTGGTGCTGCCCGGCGCGCAGGTGCCGGTGGACGGCCGCGTCGTGCACGGCGCGGCGGCGGTGTCGCAGGAGCACCTGACGGGCGAGTCGGCGGCGGTGCGCCGCGCGCCAGGGGCTGATGTTCCCGCCGGCGCGCTTGTGCACGACGGCGCGCTGGTCCTGCGCGCGCTGCAGCCCGCGTCGGCCAGCACGCCCGCGCGCCTGGCGGCGCTGGCGCTATCGGCGCAGGCCGCACGCCCCGCGCTGCGCACCTGGCTCGACCGCGTGGGCGGGGCCTATGCGCGCGGCGTGCTGGCGGCGGCCGCCGGCGCGCTGGTCGTGCTGCTGCTCTGCGGCGTGCCGCTGCTGGGGGGCGGCGGCCCCGCCGCGCCGCGCGGCGCGGCCTACCGCGCGCTGGGCCTGCTCACCGTGGCCTCGCCCTGCGCGCTGGTCATGGCGCCGCTGGCCTACGTGGCGGCGGTGGCCGCGCTGGCCTCGCGCGGCGTGCTGGTGGCCGGCGGCGCCGTGCTGGATGCCGCGGCGGGGTGCACCCTGCTGGCCCTGGACAAGACCGGCACGCTGACGGCGGGCGCGCCGCGCGTGGCGCGCGTGTCGCGCCTGGGGGACGAGCCAGGCGGTGATGCCTGGGGCGAGGAGGAGGCGGCCACGTGCCGCGCGTGCCTGGCGGCGGCGGCGGCGCTCAGCGCGCGCAGCGCGCACCCCATGGCGGGGCCCACCCTGGCCCACGCCGCGGGGCAGGGCGTGGGGCCGGGGGACGCGCGGGTGGAGGGCTTCCGCTTGGTGCCCGGGTCGGGCGTGGAGGCACGGGTGCGGGCCGCGGCGGGAGGGGCGGAGGTCGGCGGAGAGCAGTCGAGGCCGAATCGTCCCGTCAGAGTGAGCGCGATGAACGGCAGCGCGGCGGGCGAGCAGGCTGCGCCCGGCCGGTCCGCGGTGCATGGTGTGCCGGTCCGGGCCGGGAGCGCTGGCGCCGGGGACGACGCGGCGGTCTCGGCTGGCGATGGCGGGCCGGAGGCGCGCTCCCCCCCTGCAGTGGGGAATTCGAGGCCACACGAGCTGCAGGAGGACGCCGCCGGCCCGCTTCAAGATGCCTGCCTCGGCTCGGTGGAGTGGGTGAGCCCCCGCCTATCCCCCGCCCTGTGTGCGGCGCTGGAAAGCGCGGCCGCCCGGGCGCAGGCCCAGGGCCGGGCCACCTCTGTGCTCGTGCTGAGCCCCGCGGCTGTCGACGGCGATGCCAAGGTGGCGGGGCTCGACACGCCACGCTGGTCGCCCCACGCCCGAGCCTGGCTGCTGGAGTACGAGGATGCCCTGCGGCCCACCAGCCGCGGCGCTCTGGAGCAGCTGAGACAGGTGGAATGGCGGGGGGGGGGGGGCCGATGTCTCCAGCCCATGGGCTTCTTCCTGGAATGGGCTCCTCATGTCACGCCCTTACCGCAACCATTGGGCCGTGACCTTGAGCAGGCTGCTGCCTCACCTGTCAGTGTATCCAACCATGTTCTCCTGGCTGTCGCTGATCCCCACCCCCCGCTCCTTGCCCTAGAACCCCCCACCCCCACAACCCCCTCAACGCAGTTCCCCCAGGCCCGGGACGGCATCCTGATGCTGACCGGGGACAATGAGGGCGCGGCCCAGGGCGCCGCCGCCCGGCTCGGCCTTCCCGCGTCCAGCGTGCGCGCCGCACTGTCCCCCGCCGCCAAGCTGGCGGCGGTGCGTGGCGCGCAGGCCGCCGGCGCGCGCGTGCTCATGGCCGGGGACGGGCTGAACGACGCCGCCGCGCTGGCTGCCGCCGACGTAGGCGTGGCGCTGGGCCCGACGCTGGGCGGCGCCGCCGGCTTGGCCGCCGACGTGGCGCTGGTGGGGGACGCCGGGGTCGCGGCGCTGCCCGCCCTGCTCCGCGTCGCGGCCGACACGCGGGCGGCGGTGCGGCAGAACGTGGCGCTGGCGCTGGGCGCCGCCGCCGCGCTGGCCCTGCCCACGCTGGCTGGGCGCGTGCCCATGTGGGCGGCGGTGGCCGCGCACGAGGGGTCCACGCTGCTGGTGGCGCTCAACGCGCTGCGCCTGCTGCGCCACGCCGCCGGGCACAGGACGGGGGCCGGCGCCGCACCCCCCTGAGCACTCAATTCCACCGCCAAACACTCGTTCTGCCCCACCTCGCTGACGCTCAAGAAATGTTTGGGGCACTTTGTTACAGTCGCGTGCTTCCGCGGTCTCGCAGTTGCAGTGGAGGCATCACAGCGCTATGCATGGGCAACAAAGAGTAGGCAAAAGCAGAGGGGAGGGGGGGGGGGGGGGTCGAATGCCAGTGAAGGTGGTGGTCGGTGTGCAGACTTGGCGCGAGCCAGATGATGCCCTGCTCTGCCACCCACAGTGGAATGAAGAATGTTGGTGTCACGCACACTCCAGTGTGCTGGTCTTGAGTCTCAGCATTTCTGCCAAGGGGAAGGGTGTGCGGCAAGGACGCCGCGGGGGTCGGGGGACAGCTCGGGCCCCATCAGGAGGCTCAAGCGCGCAGGTTGACGCCAAACAGGCGGCGGCCGCGGTTGAGTGGGTAGGGAGAGGAAGGCGCCCAGTAGGGGCTGGATGGGCTGTAGGGGGTGGGAGAGTAGGAGCTGGGGGAGACGGAGGGGCTGTAGGGGGTGGGGCTGTAGGGGGCAGGGCTGGGGGAGTAGGAGCTGGGGGAGACGGAGGGGCTGTAGGGGGTGGGGCTGGGGGAGGAGTAGGGGACGGGGCTGGGGGAGTAGGAGCTGGGGGAGACCTTGGGGCTGTAGGGTCTGGGAGATGGGGCGTAGGGGCTGGGGGAGGGGGAGTATGGGCCGGGGGAGGGGGGCCCGTAGGCGGTGGCAGCAACGGAGGCGGTGGAGGACAGCTTCAGAAGCTTGTCGAGGGCGGTGGAGGTCAGTGCGTCGGCCAATTGAGATCCCAGGGACTCTGCGGAGGGAGGGAGGGGGTCGCGTCAGGGCTGGGGCCCCGCGTCATTCCCGGGCGACCGTTAGTCGGCACCCCCATGGGAGCCGGCACCCCCCAGAAAGCTGCATGCACGAGGACAGAAACCTCACCAAGGGGTGTATCATCCGCAGCGCGAGCATTGGAGGCGCCGAACACTGCCAGCAGCAGGACCGCGAAAGAGATCTGCAAGGTGTGCGGAGGGCGGTCGGTTGGTCGTCAGTTGGGCACACTGCGACGCGGGTAGTAATGGGATCTCCTCGATTTGGACCAATTGGAGTACATCAGAGTGTTTGCGAGGCTCACATGTCCTACCTTGCGCATCATTGTGAGGTGGTGGGTGTTGGTTGGCCGGGGGCTGTGGAGCGGGTCTGCTACTGAGCTTCGAGTGGGAGGCGCAAGTGACTTCGTCGAGACTCAGTACTTGCTTGGAGAAATGATATGATATTTGTGGAATTACAGGAGGGGGGGATGGGCTTTATAGGTGCGGGCGCTTTGGGAGTTGGTTGGTGACAGCCGGGACGTTAGATCTGACATTCGCAGGGTCAAACCAGGCGCAGCAGTTTTCTGCGCCCGCGCCCTCGCACCCAGGCTCGCACGTGCTGCAGCCCTGCTGCTGGGAGCTTCCCCTCGATCTATCATATTCCTTGTGAATGCAATCCGAAAATTCTGTTTGAAGACGGCACACTATACTGCCCCCAGCACAGGTCGCTCACGTCGGTGCGGTCGCAGCCAGGGGCCACCTTTGAAGAGTTTGCCGATAGTAAGGAAGAGGTTTCTAGCGAGGCCAAGCAAGTTACTGAGTGTACATTCGAACAGATTGTATGTTCTAGGACCATCAAACCTCCATTGCCTGGTGAGTAACCATCCACTGGTCCTATCTCCTGTCCCAGGTCTGGCAGCCATGGCCCCCAAAGCCAGAGTGGCCAAGCCAAAGATTCCCAAGGGCACCCGAGATTTCAAGCCTGACCAAATGACGATAAAGCAGGAAGCTTTCGAAAAGATCACCGCCGTGTTCAAGCGCCACGGCGCTGTGTCCATCGACACCCCCGTTTTCGAGCTCAGGTGCTCGGCATGCAGCGGCGTCGCGCGAGGGCGTCATGCAGGGGTGCAGGCCTTCTCGTTTGCAGGGGAGGTGAAGATCATGCAGCGCGGACAGTAGTGATTTGGACCACACCTCCACATCCTCCATGTTCGACAGGGAGACCTTGACTGGAAAGTATGGAGAGGACTCCAAGCTGATCTATGATCTGGCTGATCAGGGGGGTGAACTGCTGTCCCTCAGGTGCAGACCCGCTCTTATGCACATGTTGGATGCTGGTTGCAGACTCATGCTATCGACGTAACCCCCAGGGCAGACGAGGGCAGAACTCGCATCCTGTTCATCCCGGGGACGCCACACACTGGAGTTACATGGTGCTCACCCACCTCCATCACAACATCATCACGTACAATGCCCCAGGTACGACCTCACCGTGCCCTTTGCGCGCTACGTGGCGCTGAACGGCATCACCAACATCAAGCGCTACCACATTGCCAAGGTGGGCCGGCGCTGCCTGCTGGGCTCTGAATGGGCAATGTGGGGTCCAAGTGTGTCCGCTTCTGGGAGGTTGGGAACCAGGGCGCATGGGCTGCTGTTCGATGGGGATCAGGTGCAAGTCAGCTCCATCTGGGGCGGGTGCCGGAGGCTCTTTGGGCACCTGCGTCACCGCCGCCCACCTGCACATAGCGCAGGTCTACCGCCGCGACAACCCCGCCATGAACCGGGGTCGCTTCAGGGAGTTCAACCAGTGTGACTTCGACATCGCCGGCGTCTACCCCTCCATGGTGCCGGACGCGGAGGTGCTCAAGGTGAGTCAGGCATTATGTGATGGGGGGGTTGGGTTTGGGCGGGACAGGCCTGGCGCCTCCTGCAGGGCACAGCCGCACTGGACCACGCGCTCCAGCCTGAACGCCTTGGCTGGACCGACTCCGCCACTCACCGTCGTGGCCGCCTTTCCGTCCCCGTCGACCCCAGGTGCTGACAGAGATCCTGGATGACCTCGACCTGGGCCAGTACGAGGTGAAGCTGAACCACCGGGGACTGCTGGATGCCATGCTGGACATCGCGGGGGTGCCCCCCGAGAAGTTCAGGTGAGCGGGGCGGGGGTGTGCTCCCTTCTCCAGGGAGCGGGTGGGAGCCTGCCGGAGGTGCTTTGGGCCCCAGGGGGATCCTCTACGCTTCACCGGGCAAAAAGCGCGTCCCTGCTGGGCTCCTCTCAGAGCAGTCCTGCCTGCTGACCCCTTTCCATGTTGTCCTGCCACCTCCCAGGCCCATCTGCTCTGCCATCGACAAGCTGGACAAGGAGCCATGGGACTTTGTGCGGCGGGAGATGGTGGTGGACAAGGGCCTGGAGGAGGGCGTGGCCGATGCCATCAGGCCCTTTGTCGAGCTGAGGGGCCAGCCCCAGGCACTGCTCGCCAAGCTGCTGGACAAGGGTGCGTGGAGTCAGGGTGGGATGTGGATCCTCCCGGCACTGGGACCTGGCTCATGCCTGCTGCTGCTCTGTGAGGTTGCCAGGGTGGCGGCGCTGGTAGAGAGCCCCACCAAGCGGCTCCCACGTTTCTCCAACACCCAAACCAACCCCCAGGCCACGCGTTTGCCGGCCACGCGGGCGCCCGCGCCGCGCTGGAGGAGCTGCGCACGCTGTTTGGGTACCTGGAGGGCATGGGCGCGCTCGCCAACATCGTCTTCGACCTGTCCCTGGCGCGGGGCCTGGACTACTACACTGGCGTCATCTACGAGGCGGTGCTGAAGGGGGCTTCAGTCGGCAGCGTGGCGGCGGGGGGCAGGTGGGTGCACGTGTGTGTGTGTGAAAGGGGGGTAATCCGGTCTTGCAAGCGAGTGGATGTGGTGGCGAGGGAGGGCAGCTCCGCGACCTGCGGTGCGCACCGGCCGGCCGTTTGCCTTCGCGCAGACTCGGTGACCAAACCATTCTACATTCCCGGCTGGGACCGAGGAGTCTGCTGCAACCACCTCCCCCTCACCACCGCAGGTTTGACACGCTGGTCGGCATGTTCAGCGGTAAGGACGTGCCCGCGGTGGGCGTCTCCATCGGCATCGAGCGCATCTACAACATCATGGAGGAGCAGGCACGAGCGCAAGCCAAGGAGGTGAGCAGGCGGCCCACAGGGCAGGGTGTGTGGGTGCACACTGTGTGTGCAGCAGAGCTGGGGGCCTGAGGTAGAGTCTGTGGTGCAGGCACTGCATGCTGTGCACTTGTACCACCTGTTGGGGAGGCTACAAACCAGTTGGTATCAGGAGGATGCATCCCTGCCCAACTGTGGGTGCTCCTTCCCACCAAGGAGACAGGGACGCCAGCGCGTGCCCAACACCCACTCTCAAACCCTACTCGGATTGCGCAGGAGGGGTGCAGCATACGAGAGACCGAGACGGAGGTGCTGGTGGCCTCCATTGGCAATGGCTACCAGGGGCGGAGAATGGGCATCGCCTCGCGGTTGTGGGCCCGGGGCATCAAGGTGTGCCGGGGGCCCAGGATTGTGGCGAGTCTGGGGATGCGATTTGCCATTGGTTCCGGGAAGGCGCCATGCATCTGCGTGCCTGCAATGTGAAGTTCACCAGCCTGCCGACTGAGTGGGCGCGATCAGACCAATCATCCCCATCCCCGCTCCCATCAAGGCTGAGTTCGGCTTCAAGGCCAACCCCAAGATGAGCGACTCGTTAGGTTATGCTCTGAAGCAGGGGATCGACCTGCTGGTCGTTTTTGGAGAGAATGAGCTGGAGAATGTGCGCCTGGCAGTGTGTTCTCTGGTTGATGGCGAGCTTTTGAGGTGGCGTGTTTGTGCATTTCCCAGCCATCAGGGCGCCACATCCCGATGCCCTCCCCTTCCCGAACGCATCCTCTTCCGGATCCGTCTTCCCCGCAGGGCGTTTTCAAGATCAAAAACCTGGTGGCCCAGACGGAGGTGACGGTGTCCTCGCAAGGATTAGAGGAGGAGGTGCTGAAGAGCTTGGCGGCATTGCCAAAGCGACGGGCCATCTTCACGTACAACTCCGTCAACAAGGCGACCGCGGACGTGGAGAGCAAGCTGAAGGTGAATGCCTGATCAATGCGTACGGCATCGGGATATGTGAATACAACCCCAAGACCATGGTCAGGCTGTACGACCATGGAATCTGTGAGCTACGTACGCCAGCACGAGGTCGCCGTTCAGATTCGTCTCACGGAGCACGCCAACGACCCGGCAAGGAATTGCTTCCGTACGAAGGAGGCACAGGGATGCGGATGAGATGGCGAATGTGGATGAGTTAGGATCGACTCCACCACAGCAGGTTGAATTGGATCAATGGTCGTGCTGAACGGAGGGTCATCGCCGGAAGGGTGGGTGCGGGGCCCCGCCAAGGCAGGTCTCGTCTATCGAGAAGGCACCGCGTAAATCCAACGCGCTTCAGCCCCTGGAGTTTCGGAGACCAGGATTTTGGCTCAGACCACGGGAACGGGGAACTAGAACCAGCTGTGACACCATTGCAGAGCAGATTGGAGAAAACGCGTGGCAAGTTCCCAGTCCGACGAGCGGTCGGGCCGGTGGTGAGCTAACCCTCCTGCGCCTTTGACCCGGCCTCAATCCCGGGGACATCTTAGGGAGAAGCGACGCGACGAGGCCGTCTCTCCATCCTTTCTCATGCTGTAGCCACGTACGTAATGCGGTCGCGATCACTCTAGGTCGGGTAGGTGAGCCTCCGTGCCCGTCACTTTCGGCGCCTGCACTTTGCCGGACATGAGCCGTCCCCCCCCCCCCCGCC